GTCTGTCTGTCTGTCTGTCTGTCTGTCTGTCTGTCTGTCTGTCTGTCTGTCTGTCTGTCTGTGCGCGCCTGTGTATTTGTGTTCTTTGAGCCAACACCGCCCCCTGCACACACTCCAAAAATGCCACGAACACGTGAAACTGAAACACTTGTGACTTTTTTATACTTCTTGTGCTCTTCGTATACAAATTTGGTGATGTATGGAATGTTTAGACTTCAACGATATCGATACCATGATTGATCTCGTGTGACTGCCTTTGTCCCGCAAAGGAACATGGCCGATCCTGTCAACTAATCAATATCGATTTTATCAGTTGTGTGCGTAATTTGCCTAGGAAAATGAGTCGATCCTAATGCGAGATTCTTGTTTTTTCGAGACAGCCCCCGGTTGGGCAGGGTTTCAAACGATACACATAAAAAGGCTCAACACAAAGGATGGTATGGCAGAGACGGAGTCCTGGAGTTATTACAAGAACGGAGAGAATTACCAAACGAGGCTGAAAAGAGGGAGAAAGAACCCCGGGGGGTGGGACGCTTAATTTAAAGAAAAATGTAGCCAATTTAGTGGTGTGGCGTCACGCCAAGCACTGTTCTGCTGCTCCGCACACGATGTACTTGTAGGCAGAAACAATCAAGCAAAGCAATGCGTGTTGTCAATATGTTAATAAGATATTCATCTTTCGAAGTGAGGGCTAATTTATGACAAACTGGCTCATAGAATTCGACTTCCTCTGTGGGGGAAGAAAGTTCTGACATTCTAAGGCTTTGTGTCATTAGATGCGTTGTCAGGGATGTAGAAGTGACTATTTTCCGAGTGGTCGATTTGCGGTAAAGAGTAAATTTATTTATTTTTGTGGGGTTTTTTTTTTAGAGTCAATCAACAATTCTTTTCAAACCTCGGCATTTAAAAACTTCAAATCTGAATGGAAAAAGAAGAGCCAATAGATGAAATCTGCCCTGGGTCTCTGACAGCAGTACATTACGTCAGCAAAATTTATAAAGCAAACCTTCATCGTCGTGTTTGCGCGAGGAATCTGTATGAATCCAAAAGAAAGCGTGATCAAATGCAAGCTTGAAGCTTATAACATGTATAAAAGATAAGATAAGATAAGATAAGATTTTATTGATCTCTACAAAGAGAACTTTGCTGCGGCATGGTTAATACATACACGCGTTCTTACTTGTCTACGTACACACACTACCCTCTCTCTCTCTCTCTCTCTCTCTCTCTCTCTCTCTCTCTCTCTCTCTCTCTCTC